AGAGAGAGAGAGAGAGACAGAGAGAGACAGAGAGAGACAGAGAGACAGAGAGAGAGAGAGAGAGAGAGACAGAGAGAGAGAGAGAGAGAGTGTATGATCTTTAAAATAAATAAAGATAATAACAATCTATTACTTTAATGCTATTTACAGAAGAAATATTACATAGCGGAGAGGCAATCTGGATGTCGCCAGATGGTCATATGATGCTTTATGCCTCATTTAATGATTCTCTCGTAGAAGAAATGCACATTTCATGGTTTGGAGAGGGAAATAAGGCCCTATATCCTGACATACGATCATTACGGTATCCTAAGGTACGCGGTAAATTAGATAGAGAAATTATAATATTTTAATAAAATCAAATTTTTTATACTGCTTTTATTAATAAAATAAGGTAAAAAAGCGAAAGGATTAGGTTTAATCACTCTCAGAGCAAATCTTGCTTCACTCGAAAACGCTATCTTTTAGTATTGTTTTATTTTCTAGCCTGGAACGCCAAACCCTTCAGTACGACTGTATGTTGCTGATCTAGTTGACCCAAAAAATATTCGCACAAAAGTAGTGAAACCGCCGTCTATCATCGAGCATATGTAAGTTTATTTATCTATCTTAGAATATGTAAACATTAAATGAGGAAACTAACAAATAAGAACTAAGGCGCAGTTATTGCTGCGCGAACTTTTTGTTGTTAGATTTCAGTGACAAGCATGCATTAAAAATGTACGTTTTGGACCATTTTTTTATCAATCTTCAGCACTACTGATAACAAAATATAAAAATCAATTTTGTATTAAAAACTTTAACCTGCGCAATACTGGTACAATCTAAATTCCAAATTAAAATCAAAAAGTGACAAGTGATACTAAGGAACGACTCACCAAAACCCGAGTAGAGTCCGTGCAAGCCGGCCAACAACGTTTGCACGTCACCCCTAATCGGGTTTAATAACATCTGCAGTTCTAAGGCTGGCCAATCACAGTCATTCCATTTTTCAGAGGAATAGCTATGATTGGCCAGTTTTACAACTACAGACGTTATTAAACCCGATTAAGGGTGCCGTGTAACAGAGCTCAATATCTCTGTCACGTGCATATCCATCAATGGTCCACTCCGCATTAACGTAATGATGAAATGACGCAATGATATTGTTGTGAGGTTGAAATAATAATGAGCCTTTTACGCCAAAGAGATAATATATATTTGAGAATAGTACAGACGTAACGCAAGTTACTACGTGCAATTTTAACCCGTTAAAAGAAACAAGGATCATTAACAATTAAAAAAGGAAAGAAAGGTGCTGCTATTCCCGGGAACACGTATGCCATCTACGACAAATCGAAAACGAGCAGAGCAGCACTGGGTATAGGCATGAAGTACGAAAAGTAAAAATGTCTATCCTCAATACTCCCATCAGTTGAGAACTTTACGGTCACATCTTCTATCTGTAACTGACCACATAGCCGAACAAAAGGTTCCCTTGGAAGTGCCTTAGTTCAAATGTCAGGCAATTGGTCCGATGATATGATACATACTTGACTGCAATTTCTCCATCTTTGTATTTTTTCCGAATAAAATGAAAATGTACTTCTATGTGTTTCGTTGTTCTGTGGAATTCAGAGTTTTTGATTAATTTTATAGTCCCCTGATTGTCCACATTCATTGGTATTGATCCTTTGTTAGCAGCTCCCACCGATTCCAGAAGACGTTTTAACCAAATAGCTTCTTTCGTTGCATCGCTGGCTGCAATATACTCGGTAGTGGACATGGCCACTATCTTCTGTCGTTAAGACATCCAAGAAACTGGTCCACCACAGAGAGTAAATACATAGCCACTGGTTGACTTCCTTGTATCCGGATCATCGGCGTAATCCGAATTAGTAAATCCAATTAATTGATTATTGTTTGATAAACCATCATAAACGGTTCCATAATTTATCGTTTCCTTTATATAGCGTAAAATTTGCTTGACCGCTAACCAATGCTCACGATCCGTTTGTTTAAGTAATGATTTCCATTGGCCATCGCATACATATGATATCTGGTCGTAAAATACATGCTGCAAACATCAGGGCACCAATAGCTTCACGATATGGTACGTCCGTTTCAAGTGCATTTTTGTTCATTTCTGTTGACAAGTAAACGTGAGGTTCTCTGCAGATATAATCATATGTTTAGCATTTGTTAAATTGAATCTTTTAATTATGCATTTCAAATAATTCTAAGCCTATAAAATATTGAGCATCATTCTCCATCACATCAAACTCAATTTTTAGCTTAGTTATAATGTTTTGATAATGCATATGAATCAGCTGACATTAATAGTCCGTCATCAACGTCATCATATAAAGCTAATATAATACGCGCATCTCCAATCTTCCCAATGTAGACACATTTATCGGCATCGCTAGCTACAAAAGTGAATTGCTTCAAGTACTTGTTAAACTTCTTGTTCCACTGTCTTGATGATTGTTTGAGTCCATAGATTGATTTTGTTAATTGTACAAGCGATTTTCCATTCTTGACTACAGAAGCAGGTAGTTTCATATAAATCTTCTCATCAAGATTGCCGTTCTTATGTCGAAATGACTAATATTCCTATCTTCTTTTGCACAATGCCAATAATACCCGGATAGACTCATATCTTACTACCGGCACAAATGTTTCTTTGAAGTCAATTCCAGGACGCTGTGTGAATCCTCTGGCAATTAACTGAGCCTTGTATCGCTCAATTTGTTTCTGACTATTCAATTTCTTTTTAAAGATCATCTTCACAGCTTCGCTGCCATTTGGCAATTCGTCTACAGCTTTTTAAGTGCCATTCTTTTCCATGACGGCCATTTCTTCATCAATGGCTGTCTGCCATCTCTCGGTCTCTGGTCCTGCCAAAGCTTTTTCAATGTTCTGTGATTCATCCAATTCAATGCGATTAGCTTCATAGCGGTGACGTCTTCGAATTTTTGAACGATCACACAACTTGACTCCAGTTGACTGTGATTTTTCAGGCTTCTTAATTTCTTCATCTATTATATCCTCTTCATTGATAATTTCCGTTTCGTCTTTATTATTATCTTCCATATTTGATACAGGTATATTTATTATCGGCCAGTTCCTTTTTGGTTTTCCAACTTCTGTTGCCTCTTCGTTAAAATCATGCCGAGAAACCGTGATTTTCTTTGTCTCCATGTCGAGTAAACGATAGTTCGTACTATTGCTGTCGTATCCAACCATTAATAACTTTCTAGCCTTCTTCTGCCATTTCTTCCTTTGACTATCCGGTATATGTTCATATGCTCAGGAGCCGAAGATTTGCAGATGATTTAATTCTGGCTTGCGACCAAACCATAATTTGTATGATGATTTCTGACCAGACCTAGTGGATAGTTGCCTATTAGTTAAATAAGTAGCTGTCAGTGTACCCAGATAGCCAAGTCTGTTCGAACAGATTTTGCCAAACGTCCTTTAGCCCACAATTCTCGAGATAAATCCTTAGCGAACAGCATTGATCTAGCTGATTCTATCAATGAGCGATTCTTCCATTCGGTTACTCCATTTTGCTCCGGAGTATGTGTTGTTGTCTGGTGATGAATTCCATGATTTTCCATAAATGATCTGTTGTAGGATTTTATGGATTTGGAGTTCCATACAAATAATAACTTCTTCTTCTTGATTTATATAAAATATATATTTGAATGATTTGAAAAGGCGCCTTTTCTATCACGTTCGCTTCAACCTACACCCTGGCAGTGTCTGTCTTTTGGCAATTTGCAATTAAAGCAATTACACACGTCTTTAATATAAGTGAGATCGTTTTAATAGAAGAAGACTAGCACGTGTTTCGACTTTTTGGTTCTTACGAGCATGGACTACAAGAAAACGCTATATGCGCACTCCCTCTGTAGAGTGTATACGGTCTAGGTGCTTAAGGGTAATTCACATTCAGAGTTTGATGCATGACTAACATAAAGATAAGAAATAATTACATCTCAACATGATCTCATCTTGCCATTTTTATATTCAGAGCCATTATCGCTTCGGAGTATTTCCACCTTACGACCCAATTGTGTATGGATTATATTGACTACAATCTTAAACTTGTCGAATACTTCATCTTTTATTCTCATGAAGAATACAAATGTCATCCCTGTAGCATCATCGATGAACATTACGAACCATCTGTTACCGCCGAACGTTGCAACTGATATTGGACCACTAACATCAGAGTGAAGAAATTCCCCAGGCAAGTAATCTCTGCGCTGATCACTCTTCAAAGGCTTTTTAGATGATTTCCCAAATGTACAAGCTTCACAAAATAATTTTGTTTCGTTTGGAATAATGATGTTCAGCTGCTTCTTATTAGCCATATCACACATCCGCTTCAAGCATGGATGGCCGTTCATGCCATGTTTATAGGTTAGTTTCCGCCTTTCGTTATCAATGGTTGCCGCAACTTCAACTGATATAGATTATTATCGGTTAATTGAGCTTCCATTCTTACCGATCATTAAGATAGAATTTTATTTTACCTTGATCAACTTTTACTTTTGCACCTACACGCTCAGTCATACCAATACTAACCAAATTCTTTCTTAAATCTGGAAGATACATGGCATTCTGGAAATAAACTGGCCACCGGCCATTAATCCACGCTTCGATTGCAACCTTGCCTCTACCTATCGAATTCAATTGACATTTGCCCGCCAATTCTAAAGTTTCCGTTTTCTCTTCATATTCGATAAACCAAGCTTTATCATTGAACATGTGGATGCTCCGCTGTCAGTCAAGACTTTGTCGTCTTTGTCTCCGACCATGGCTACTTCGATACAACTGAAACACACATTACCTGCTTTATTTTGTTTCTTATTGTCCTTGATATCTTTCTTATGATCCTTGTGCTTTGGACAGTCTCGCTTGAAGTGTCCTGCCTTGCCACATCCAAATCATCGCTTAATCTTCTTATCCTTGGATTGATCATTGTTAATAATCTTCGAATTCTTAACTTGTTTGTTCTTCTTGATATATAGAGCCTTATTACTGATGTCATTTATTTGTCCAAGCCTCGTCTCTTCGCTGAGTAGCAACCTTTTAACGGTCTCCAAGTTCTGTCTATTTGCTCCAGCCAATGACATTGCTACATGCACTACTAAATACTCAGCTGGAATCTTGTCAAGCAGCTTTGTAAATATCCGTTTCGGTTTTTTGATCGCCACATAGTTGGCATTTTGCTGCCAAATTCTCCACCGTAGCTAGATGTGTAGCTATTGATCCGCCGCTATAAACATAACCATGACATGCAGGATTCGCTTCCAACTTACTTGTTTCGTCCGTATACTCATAAACTGTCCTTAAATTGGCCCACATCTGAGCTGTTGTTTCGCATGCTGATACAAAGATTAATTGGCTTGACTCAATCGTTGACAAAATGGCTAATTACGCTTTCCCGTCTGACTTGTTCCAAGCTTCAACATCCTCTGGTCTAGTCGACCGTCTCATACTGTCATCAATATACTTCCTAAGACCATATACTTTGTAGTACTGAACCATGGCTTACCCATACAGAAATTAATGTATATTAGATATCTACTGGATGTTC